ATACCCAAGCAGGATTAAAAAGGAGGGAAGCGGCACGACATGGTCCTGGGGGCTGGGGCTAACCTCTTTCAAAAGTACTGAAAATTTACTCCACTTGCAATACGTGTTTGGCGCCACTGATTATATAGATTGAGGCCCTGTCCGGTGCGCGTTAGTAGACGTGCACATCATTTTGTCCGCATAAACGAAATGTCTTCCATCGATATTTTACATAAATATTCATTATTATATAACCAAATGCCGGCTGTAACTAGACGCTAGATTGATGTGGAATTGTTAAGACTGGATTGCTGCGCTGATGGGATTGCTCGGATCTAGGCGATGGCCACTATTATTACTATATTTATGTAGGTGCGCCTAATCAACCCCGCCAAGGCTCGTCATTATTATAATCTTCAAAATACGCCCGCTACAGAGGGCCGTTCGTTATATTATTATAGGCCTTGTACATAAAATATATTATATCGTCGTCGCATGTCCAATTTCTCGAATGATGCCGTGACCGTGGGCACTTAAACTTTTCCTCGATTTTTCCGTTCCTTTCCAGCGATTGTGTGTTATGCACGAGCGCTGTGCGAGTGTGTGTGTATGCGTGTGTGGGGGTTGTGTGTGTGTGTGTGTGTGTGTGTGTGTGTGTGTGTGTGTGTGTGTGTGTGTGTGTGTGCGTGTCGTGTACGACAACAGCGGTTTACGACCTATTCTCGCCCCACGAAAACAACCACGTAAGTTGGTCGGGCGGCGCGAAATCCTAGTGGTGTAAAATATCCTTTTAATACTTCAGCGGCATGTATAATTTAATAATCCGAACAGTCACAATCATTATAGCTATTATTGGCGCTTAGTTGTCGCCGCGGTTTTGATTTCGAGCGAACGGAAACGCTCGCGCCGCTGCTGGAAGAACTTTCGTGTCTATATTTGGGCGTCGTAAGCTCCCGCAAATCGTCAAGCGCAGTATAATAAGGCGGGCACGGGGTAGGGGGATGGAAAAAGGGAGGGTCAATAGTGGCTGATGGGAGGGTGAAGTGTGGGCGACCGATTGAACTGGTGCCACCACCGGTACAGGTTGTACAATAATAATTAGGTATTATAAATATACATCTAAGCGAAAACGACGACATTAAACTGCAGTCACGATGGACGAGATGAGCACCGAGCTCCGGAATCGGGGAACAAAGAACCGACGTAAAAGTAACAGTGTGCGGTTCCCGAGGGCTCTTATTGCGATTTCCTCGAAATCTAAGCAAAACAAAAAAAAAAAAAAACTAAAGAAAGAAAATTATCGTTAGAGGGGTTGACCTGCATGTACGGCGCACAACTGGGGCGGCAAACGGCAGCGGGTGCTCACAGGAAGTAATTGAGTTTGCCGAGGGCTGATGGCCGCGGGCGGCGGTGGTGAAATACCAGCGAGAAAAAGCCGCCACAACTGCTATAGGCCTTTTGTTTCGAAAGCCGAATGCAAACGCGGTCTCGGTTGTGTTTTCTACCATCCCCCTTATATAATAATATACGTATGCCCGTCACGGTGGGATCAGAAATTAGGTTACTTTTTTTTCTTTATTCTCCCCCACAACCAAAACCCATCTAACTGACTGCGTACACAGACCCATGATAATGGTAAATATATATCTGTATAATATGTATACCGTATTTATATAGTATTGATGAGTCTGGATATCTTTATATTCTAACGAGATTTACACGCAAAAGATTTGTCTACGCAATTTGAGCCTTTAAAATCCAGTTAAAAAAGCACTCACAGAGTTTATAGCTTAGACTCTAAAAACGTGAAACTATACGAATTCGACTTCGAGGTGCAATGATTATTGGTTCTTAAACCAGTTAACAAAATAACATTACACATATTATCTTCCATTGATTTAAGGAAAAAGATAGGCATAGCCGGTTGTTAGTACAACTCTTTATCGGATTCATACAAAAAATAATTTGTTTAAATTAACTTTTGAAAGTATTGGATACATTGATTGCAATTTCTGTACAACTATTGGGAGACTTTATATAATAGACAATGGTATCGTTTTATTGCTTTTAATATAAAAGTACATAAAGTTTCAAAAGCTATACTAGTTTGCATTACACAATTTATATGATTTATTTCACTAGCACTTAACTGGTCAGCAAATCTGTAACATAATATGATTTTTTTCAAATCACATACTCAAATATAATTGATAATCACAATCGCTGTATTAGATATTTTTGTTTTAGGTTAAAAGTCGTTGACGTTTGGAAATCATCTTAAATGAAAGTTTAAATTTCAAATCTATTATTAAATTTTTGGAACGAAATTTTTGGATTGAAATTTTTTGCATGGTAAAATCTTTAAAAATTGAGTTAATTATAATCTGAAATATATTGGATTTTATCATAACAAATATTATAATATAGATTCCCTAATCTCCGAGTATTGATTTCTTATGTTTTATTTTAATTTTCTTGAATATTAAAATGTCGAGAGATTGCGATTTTAGTAAAATATTGTCTTAATACTTTATGAAACACAAATTATTGAGAGTTTTTAATATACGAAGAGAAATAATATTTATATTTTACAATATTTATTTAAAAATAATGGGCTAAATGTTTCAGTTCAATTCTTTCAATAGTTTATGTGTTTATTTTTTTTTTAACAATGATAATATCATTTCCATGCTGTACAATGCATGATATCAAAAACACTATATTTGTTCAATAAAACACACCTTCTGTGAAAAATGTAGTTTTTAAGTAATCAAATTCGATATCTTTGATAAATATCTATGGTTGATACATTTGATAAATTGTAGATAACTATTTTCTTTTTGCTAAAACAATAATCGATTTCTAGATATTAAAATTTAAACATTAATGTTTGAGAATTATAAATCTATATTCTAAATAAATTTAGACCTCTACCAGAGTTTCTTAACTTTTGTTTTTAAATTTGTAACAAATACCTACATTAGAAAAATTCCTAAATTGTATTTCAGAATAAAGCATATATAAATACTGAGTAGTAGTTAACTAAGTGTCTAATGACTTTTGACATTTTTTGAATTTATATTTGATCACAACTTCTGAATATATTTTATCATAATAACTAATATAATAATATAATATAATATATTGTATAATTATAAAAGTTCTTTTTGGTAGGTCTTCACCAAATCAGCCAGATAGAAAACGATTTTACTACAAAAACTATTTTTTTGTCATCAGATTCTGTGGTTTGAGTAAATGTATCAGAAAATCCTTCCCCGGTTAAGAATGTAGAAATAATTGAGATAGTACATTAATTGTTTCTTTAAAATATGAAATGAGAAATTAATTGCCTTTCTCCTACTCCTTGTAAACTCAATAAATTGATTTCGTTAAAATATTTTAATGATAGAATATAATACTGTTACAACTAAAATATAGTCCTAAAGCGTATAATAATGTCTTATAAAATGTTATTGATATGTTGAATATTACATGCAAATCATATCTACTTTATGATTTATTTTACAACAGTTCATTCAAAAATCGTTGTTTCGTAAGTTATATGAAGTATTCAGTTCAACTGACACTTCGTGTGTGGGAGATTAACTGATTCGGATAATTATAAATTGATATATAAATTGTTAGTTATAGGGAGCACTGTGGGCACAGTATTCAACTCCTCGTCTGGACCACATAAATAGGGCCTAAACCTGGGACAAAGGCAGAAGTGAATTTACAGAGTTAGCTCCGTATCATTAAACACGAGTATCCTTCAGGTCATCCAGCATCAGATTTTGTGAAACACTTAGAATATATTTTAAGAGCAGTTGAACACACATATTTAATTATTATCTGTATGCATTTATTTGAACTTCAATTGAAGTAATACTTATCTATTCAAACGATTGTTTACATTGACAAGCGACAATACATTATAGCCATAGCTCATAATATACTATATTGCAATGGAGTAATTTAATAAATAAAAATTTGTAGGAATATGAAAGACCCAAACCTTGTATCTACTACATAATATTACCTATATTTTATAGGTTTTGATGTCATAAAATCAAAATTCAATGAAATTGATGTCACCTACCTCAATCTATCATTGTTCATTGGTGAATGTGCATCAATTTAAACGTTTCGTCATCAAACACAGGTAATAATCGTTTAACAACAATGGAAAATATCCGTCGTATACAGTGAAATCTCAACGACCATATCATATACCATTATAACCATATAATATCATCCAAATACTTCAAAGGCGCAATCCAAAGACAGTGTTCAGCACAATATCATTGTGTGACAACCAACAGTTCATCGTTTGGTCTTCACTGCTCCTCTGGTAGCTATAGCATCAAACTAATCGCTGCCGATTTCTTATACACTTAACAAATAAAACATGCAGCAAGTAACGCGTATTTATTATGTACAAATAATGATTGACGAATATAATCGTCGCCGAGATGTCTCGCGCAGTACAGAAAAAATCAACTCCAACAAATAAATCGAGGCTGATAAATGGTGTAACACTACTATGGTTTTCATTTAAAATTGTACGCCTATGATCTGCAGAGGCCGTCAAAACCAGGAGTTAAAAAGACATACAATAGTTCGGATTTCGTGTTTAAGACCACCGGGTAACATTTTTTGCCAGTTACCCGGTCTTACAAACCACCAACCAGGTGTGTACCAGTTTTAACTCAAAACTGCTGACGAAGATGTGCCCCATATTATATATATGTATGTGCAATAAAATTAATTGAAACTCATCTTCACTCACTATGCGTTTTATGCCATTCGTATTTCACTCTAAGAAACTCGTCTTGAATTTCGTTTTACGACAAACCACCTTCATCGTACGATCACAAGTTTCGATCACTACTTATAAATTAACTCATCTCGGATACGGTTGCTCATAGATAATAATAATAATAATAATAATAGTAATAATAATGGTGACAATATAATATTTCAACGACTCAACAGTGTAATACTATAATAGCAATGCTCACCCAGAACCGAATTAGCAGCCGGACCCGCGGACGAGTTCCAGAAGCCCCTGATGGTAGTGGCCAACTTCTGCGGAGACGCCGTGACGGACGCTACGATTGCAGCGTGCAGTTTGCCGCCGGTTGTGCCGCCGTCTCCCGCCGCAGCCGGTCCGACCTGGTCGGCCGTCGCGTGCGCCGCGTCCGTATCCACCTTGACCGAGCGCCGACTATGCGTACCGACCACGCCGCGACTCACCGTGTAACCGCACGCGCGCGATCACCAACTGCCGGTGCACATCACAACGATGTCCGCGGACGGTGACGACGCGGAACGACGATGATGACCGCGGCCGCTGAGGCCAAAGTGCAGGTCTCGTGATGTAGGTACGGGTCGGCCGGGCAGCTACTCGATGCACTCCGGATCTCGAAGCGAAGATCGCGATCGAGTCCCGTGCGGTGGATGCTGAGGGTGCGAGTGGTGGTCCGTCGGGGTGATGCAGGGTGAGGGGGCGCTGTTCGCTCCTGGAATGGCGGAGGGGGGAAGAATGTATATATATATGAAAACGAAGGCAGCCGTACGCGATATTTTTGTTTTTGTGGTGGTGGTGGTGGTGGTGGTGGTGATGATGGTGGTGCTGGCGTTGTGTTACGCTACGGTGATGGACATACGGAAAAACGCGGCGCGACTGTGGCTGGTGATCGAGCTCGGGCGCGTGACGGACGCTCAGTGCGACCGGCAGGTCCCTTCGAACGCCGCCGGCGCCGAATCCGCTCGTGGGCGGGTCCGGGGTGCCGGCGCCCCACCCGAGCACCGCCTCTATTCGCGCGGGTCGCCCTCGACGCCCGTGTCTCGACGTCCCGGTGCCGGCGTTCGCGCGCGCGCGTGCCCTCGCAGCCAGTGGGTATCTGGGTCAACGCGGCCCGGCGGCTCTTCGCAGGTCCACCCCGCCACACCCCACCAACGGCGCATATGCAAATTAAGACCGGTGACTGACTATATAGCTACACTATACTCTACACGGTGCGGGGTGTATTGCGGGTACGGGCTTATACGAGTAATATAATATAATAGGTATAGGTACAGCCCGCGAGGTTATCACGGCGACCGCGGGGAACACGCGTGTGTGAACAGCAAAAAATTTGACGAACGAGTGGAAATGAAAACTTGGTAAAAGACCAGAAACACCGTGTATACAATAACACTGCAGCAGTTGTAAAGTATACTCGTAAAACAGAGACGACTTTATTGTTGTTGCTATACGATTTTAGAGTCTGGAGCTGTATCGCGCATTATAGCTATATTACATACCTAGTACATACATAAACTATAATATTGTTCTCGGTACGAAGCAACGACGATATACGTATCCGAGCCATTGTATAACGTGTATAATACAACTATAATACAAAAATAGTACCCATGCAGCAGCTGTATACGATATTTTCACGGCATGGCGCAGTGCGTTCGATGAACACGACCGCAAAGTAACTATATATATGTAATGTGTTTGTATGCATTACACATATAATATATAGTATTATATTATGTTTTATTAGGTACATTTTGGGCCACGGTGGTGTACTGCTGTTCGGTATTGCACTGGTAATGCAAAAATATATGTTAATAAATTGGCTCGTGGTTCGTTGCGCAGTACAGTATTTTTCGGAATTCTGATATCGCTCGTTTATGTAGTACCTATTTGTTTTGTAATAAATTAAATTAGATATAACTGAAAATTACGTAATTTGTGACTTGGAAATAATTTTGCGATCGATTTCGCTCCTTTATGCGTGTTGCATAAACTACATTTACGATAGTTTGCTGAACTACACCGAGCCAGTAAAACAGAATTATATCATCTATGAACTACTACTGCACGTCCTTCTAACATTAAAATTCTTCTCGTTTCGTTTGAATTTAACTTGAAATAACATTAAGTTTACATAAAGTTTGACTTTAAACCACATGTATTTTTCATGTGCAATCATCAAACCTATCTGAAATCAAACTAAATCATAAATTAATAACAATACGTTTTATACATATTATGAGGACACTAATATTGTCATTGACTCGTAGGTAAGAATAAGTAATGCATTTATTAATTTATGACGAGAGAAAATATACATAATATCACCTATCGTATAAGTCACTATATTTGAAGTTATAAATGTCTGCATGACTTATATTGTTTTAACTTCTCATTATTATTTTCATCTAAAAAAATTAAGGAAATAGGTATTTGGTATCAGCCTCATTTCACTCACCAGTCATCACATTGCAGCTAGGGAAGTAATTTCCTATGAAATTAAATTTAAAAGCAATGATAATCCATCGTATTCAAAAAAAAGATTTTAAGTTCACTTGATACCGAGATTACTTACATTTCTTCAACAATTTTTTATTGCTATCGGTGGTTTTTCTTAACGCTTTAAGAAACTATAGATATGGGTATCGAAAAATATATCTTTCAAAGTACCATCCCGACCCAATCTCTAATCTTATAACTATTGCTGCATACAACATTTTAAACACTCTTTTAGGTCAACCTTATATCTGATAGTGTTCACTAAAAAAAAATATGCATTCCTTGTTTTCCTGGTAATCTAAAATCTGCTAAGAAATAAAAGACAATATTTATTATATTTTGTACAAAGCACACTTAATTATAAAACAATGCTACGTATATATTTAAGATATACACCTACAAAAGTAATTTATGTGATAGCACAGCACTACATACCTTCATTATATTTTCACAATTCAATTGTTATATTTATTATTAAGTTATAAGAAAAATTTAGCTTTTAAAAGTTGTAAACAGAAACCAGTAGTGGTAAATTGCACTTTGGGCTATGAATATCAAATTCAAACATTAAATATTATTTTCGTTTTGAAATTCAAAGAACAAAATATTTTCCAAATCTGATAATTTTTGGTGTACAATAATACATTATTTTATAAATATGAATGCATGTTTTTATGTTAATATAACTTACTATCGTTTTCTGTGGTAAACTGAATCGAATATTTTCCTTCATTCAATCGGTGTGCATATTGTGTTCAGTTGGCAACAGTTGCCATTATATTGACTAGGTGCATTCATACGTTCAAATCAATTAATAAATTACACGTATTTTCTCATTCTTAAACCAATAGGTATTATAGTAATCCAATAGATTTGAATAATTTATACTCATTCCTTATTAGTAATTTATTTAGGTACCCATTTTGTTACCAACATAAATAACTTTGAAATATAATTGTACCGACGATAAATAAGCTGAATATTGTTTATTAGATCTAAATTTGGCTTGTAAGATACACATTACACTAGTTATATTAAAGTATATTTGCACGTTAGCTTAAACCTCTGAAGTCTTAACAAACATACTAGTAAATATCTCATTGTTTGTTTGGACCTATTGACTATCGCTAAGATCTACTAGCTATTTATGAATTTATGACCCAAGTTTATATAAGCTTTGTATAAACATTGTTCAATCTTAAGATTATTTAAATAAATGTATATACGTTAACACGATTGAACGTTTAAAAAATAACTCTGTCAAGGATTCATTTATGTAATTGAAATTTATTCGTGTATTCATGTAGGTATCAAGTATCAACTCATTATTCATAAATTCATAAATCATTAATCAAAATAAATATAATATTGAAACTAAATCTACAATGACAACTTAAAACAAATATTTTAACTGACTTGTTTTAAAATACAAATATATTTGATTTTTTTAACTGCTTAAGTGTGTAACTATTGGTTTTACAATGAATACATGCATAATAAATGACTGATGTTTTTGGACAATTAAAAATATCGAAACTGCATGCAGCACTACGAACGAAAAATAATTTCAAAATATTTTTGTCAAGTTCGTATACTTTTGAGAATGTCACAAAAATATGTCGAGGACATTAAACTAACAAATAATTTTCATATCATTTAAAAATAACTATCTAGATTTTAAGAAATATAAAAAATACCGATTTTTGTGTATTGTTTCATAAAGAATTTGTAACGTTTGTTTAATTAAAAAAATTATTATTTTCTTTATCTATGAATACTCTGTGTTTCACCAGTACACGACATAAAAGTTTATTAAACTGGTGAAGGGATTTCAACTAAATTGAAGTTTTATATTGTAGTATAAAATACCAATTATATTTCAAGAAGGATAAATATTTTATGTAGGATTTTTCTCCTGGAAATATGTATTTTGATATTTTTTTTTTCATTTCTTTTTTGAAGTTGTATGATGTGTTATATAAAAAATAAACATTCTTTTAAAAAGAAAGTATAATTTTATGATTAAATTTAAATTTGATTATTTTTTATATAATTAAATTACAGTCATCACTCATAAGTCAGTAGTCACATTCCCCTATTAAACGTAATAAATCATAACATTTATGCGTAATCAATGAAGTTTCAAACTGTTAATAAGACAACCCTATTATTGGTAATATTGAATATATTATGCAAGTTCAAACTCATATTTTCACATTTGTATTCGTTTAGGATAATTAACTTAAATCACAAAAATAATATATATACCCCTGTAGCCCTCCACGCAGTTCACATCAAATAGGTAATTAAAAAAATAAAATTTGTTTATGTACTTCCGTATCGGTTTGGTCATATAAATAACATAAATCACTGCTCCGGATAATATATCATTTAATACAGAGTTCATAATACATAATATAATAGGTAAAAATTCAAACTAAACTGTAGTATTTTAAAAATATTTGTGTATATACCCATTACCCACATCATGAATAAATATATTATAGTGTAATACATTTGAAAATTATTTGAGTACACATAATACTATACAACGCTCAAGTTAATTTTTCACTTTAAAAATTATAATATACCTAAAATTTAAATGAATACATTTCATGATATTTCTGGGATAAAAAAAAGTATTTATACAGACTATAAAAAATATTATATGCTATACCTTGACCTATAAACAATATGAATAATTAGTTTATAGGCTCACTTATCCTACATATTGAATAATTACATAAAACAAAATTTTCCAATACATAATATAAATTAAAAATTTTTTTAAAATATTTTTTAATGCATTTAGAACTTCCAGTGAAAACTAACTATTATTAAGTATTACATTTAAAAGCGTTAAAAAAAATCACAAATAGTTATGCCTATTTATTTTTTGTTTTGAGATTGAATGTGATAAAAGGTGTCTCTAATATTATTCAAAGTAGAATATACGTTTGACAAATTG